ACTCAAAATCCTAAAGTTTGAATGCGACTGGGCCCATCCAGTGACTTTCGGGGCCAACCAGCCTCCAAGCTAGTTTGATTGCTCTCAAAAATCTGTCCGATACATTCAGCCGACCCTGAAGGGAAGCACTCCTTTCAGGATCGGCTGAATCGTCGTGGGACAAGGTGTCGTGGGACAAGGTGCAGTTTCTTGAGATATTTGTAAAATCAGAAAGGCAACATCTTATGCGCATTTCTTTCTTAGGTTATCTTCACTGATAAGAAAAAGTCAATCTCGACGGTCCATGGATATCAGCATCACTGGAAAGACCTTTGTAGCGATCCGTTGGTGTTCTCGAGACGAAATTTCGGAGGCGCCTCTTTGATGGTACGGGGTGGTTTTGGAAGCAGAGGAAAGTTGGAGCTTGCCTTCCCATCGTGCTGTATGAACAGTCAGGAATACCAAGGAGTGCTTGAGTCTAACCTCTTGCCTTTTCTGAGCGGGCCACGATGCAGGACACATGTGATGCAGCAGGAGAACACGGCCGTGCATGTTTCAAATTCTACTAGAAAATGGCTCCAACGCAATGGTATCAAAGTGATTGATTGGCCGGCGTGTTCTCCTGACTGCAACCCAACCGAAATCCTGTGGGGAATCATGGTTCGACGAATCTACATGAACAGTGGGCAGTACAACAGCGTGCGAGACTTGAAGGAGGCAATAGTTGATGCATTTTCAAAACAATAAATAATTGTTCAGTAGTCCACAAAGTGTTTAGAAGTAGTGTATTCCTATGTTTTCGCTTATGAGGAATTCAACAATAAAGGTCTCATATCGCAAAATTCAAAGGCAATTTTGCAGGACAAAAATTTGAGGTGTCCACATACTTTTGTTACGCACTGTATACCCTTCGAATATCCTACTCTATTAGAACCAAGTTAGCTTTCCAGCCTCTGAGGCAATTAATAGGTAACAGGGGTAACAGGGTTTAGAATTTTGCATTCAAAATACCACTGCGATTCTGAATGAAAGACATCAGGGAAAGTAGACAACATCAGGGAAGCACTCACCAACCCGGAAACTTTTATCCTGTATCTTCACAGGCCACCTGCGCTTCCAGAAATTCTTACTGGAAGTGCTAAAGATGTGGCGCATTTTGCAAAAGCGGGCCAAGGCCAAACACTAGGCCCCCCTTCCAAATGCGGATCACTCCGCGAAGAATAAGATTTCTCATGGGCTACTATGAAACACTCAAGCGAAAGTGCCATCACTCACAAAACTGGAATTTGAAAGAGTGTCAGTGTTACAAAGCAGCACGCAGGTGCAGTTAAGCCCTGGAAACGGAATGAAAGTGAAATGAATGAAAAAGCTCATAGTCATGGTAATACGTATATTTCATGAAAGTATTACTAGTTTGAAGCTATAGTGATCCTATAAGACTAGCGAAGAGTGGTAACCAGGGTACAGCATCGTTGTGTCAAGCCCATGCCCGAGCAATAACCCGATGATATTGATCTCCATGATCTCTTGATCTACCTACCAGTTATGCAAGGGGAAAAATCGGTTTTTTCAATTTTTTGTATACCCCCCCGCTCGACAACTTTTTCGCCGACTATATACTCATTGCTCGTCGTCGGCGAAAAAGCCGTGGAGGTGGAGGGGGGGGGGGTCGTGCCTGGACCCCATTCGAAGGGGGGGGTTCACACCGACATTTCGCACATCCCCATGCTGTACCCTGGTGGTAACGCAATGGTTGGATTGTTGACGAAGAACAAAGGCAACTACAGCTGGGACTGCCAACTCCCGAAAGCTAAAGAGTTTGAGCCGTTGGCACCACAAGTTGGCCTAAGCTGTCGCTGCAATTACATCAATTTCTAGGACAAAACACTCAAGAGGTCGCAAAACGGATTTGCGCCAAGAATACTTCTTTCCAAAGATTAGTGACATCGGGTCTTCAGCAATTTTCATTCCCTTCGGGCCTCCTGCCCCTGATATGAGCAGTAACTGGTTCCCGATCCCCGACTTGTTTTACAAGCAAAAACTGATGAAGTGGTGTAAGCTAAGCCAAGCAGTGTTCTTGATATACGTCAGAACACAAGGTCAACTTGCCACCACGCCAAGGAAAACTTCGAGGGGCACGAAAATGTTACTCCACAATGAGTGCTGGTTCATCCTCTCTCTCTGGTTTCCCCTGGTTACCAGCTCAGTCAGAATGAGAACCAGGTTGGAAACCAGTTCTACAAGCTATCGCGCGAGTTGCTCAAGGTGAAGGACGTTACGCAGGTACAAAGGATAAAGGATAAAGCTTTCTCCATCTGTGAATCCCTTTTGAGATGAAGCGCGCATTCTACTGACGTTCAGAATCGTAGTGGCTCACTGAACGCAACTATAGAAAGACTTGCGGTGGCCAGTAGATGTACAAGTCAGCGTTCTTATCCCACTAGAAGAGTCTGGAACTAATTCACCATCCCTGGAGGGTGTAAGGCTTAGTTGGCCTGGGCAATCCAGGTTCTGACCCCGGACAACGCGCGTGGAAAGCACTTGCCATTACATCACTTCCGCCTTACGGCGATATGGAGAGGTGGAAGAGGTGTTCTCTAATGCCCTTCCTTAACATTTTACTTCCAGATTAGTCCTAACAGAGATTTCTCCTCTTTCAGCATTTCATTATTTCGCCACTTGACTGGGGAATTTTGAGGTTACGGCACGTTTGACTTGTGTTGAGTAATTTTTGAGGGTTGACGGTGATCTTGGGGGTGGGCCTTGAAAAATATGTAATTGTGGCTTCATTCAGCAGTTTTCGCCAGACGTGTTCTGAAATTGCTCGTATCTCCCTGACCCCTTCAGCTCCATCAATCACCCCTCTGAAACACTCATGCCGTTTTTGGGATGCGGCTACTGGTCTAAGGTAAGTCCTCGCTGCTGGGAACATCTTCATTAATATAATCTATAATTTTGCATCCGAGGGCTACATTACTATTAATTCGGCTTTCTTCACATTCTTCCTTTTACCTTAATAGGGCCTTTCAAGGCGTTCCAAAAAACCCTAACCTTATCAGAGTTGCGTTTCATACTTTCGCCACGTTATGAAAACCGCGCAACGAGTCGCATTAATTTAGAGAACTATTGAACGTGACCCAGTTTACGGAATCGTATCTTAACTTGAGTAAAACTCATGATATTGATGGCCTACGTTTCTATTTCTGAAGAGTGCTTAGTGGGTGATAGGGATTGACCAGTCATTATCACTGCTTCACTCATAACTTGCAATGTACACTCACTAAAGAATATGCACGTCGGAATCACTCGTCATAGTAAGCAGCGTTTGCCATTCGAGATCAACGTGTATAGGTCGCTGGTCGTTGACTTTTATTCGCTTCATAACTTACAGTCAGGGGTATAGCCATTCGTTGTCTGAAACACATAGGAGGTTTCGGTTATCGTACTTTTGCTTGGGGAAGTGGGAGTCGTTACACACGCGGAAAAAATAGGGGGGGTCGTGTCTGTACGCCCATCAGGGAGGGGAGGGTCGCTTACTCTCTAACGACACTTTCGCCTATCCCATGACTGTACCCTGACTACTCAGTAGCCTCGAGTGCTGATGACGGGAAGGCAAGCCATGGGCATGCATATCGATCGCGACCGTAGCAGCGCTGCGTGCATTTTGGAGAGCATAGGAGAATATCTTTCGTGAGTATCGTACAGCTTTTATGTATTATGCGTTATGGAACAAACAAGTTTGATATTGTCAATTGCCAGTTTCTTGCCAGAATGGTCGGTCATCCCTCAGGACATTTTTCTTCTCGTGATCCGCATACTTTAAAAGGTTGTGCACTCCGGACGTTTCACTGGCTTTCTAACCCTATCTCTGTGAGTAAGCTCTGCGAATTTCGTCGAGCTGATGTCGCAACAGAGCAGATAAGTTAGTATATTCTCGCTGAGAACAGTTTTAGCTGCGAGCCTTCTTCGATTTTAGAGGTGCTTTCACAATCCTACTGCATGGAAATTTTCCCATTACTATGAAAGAATGAAGGCATGAAGTCTTCGCCGTGAAATCCCTTGTTCTAGACGCAAACAATGTAATTCAATTCGGAATTCATTAATAAGGCTTGCTGAGTTTATACGTCTCTTATATAATCACTTTTTTATGCTTTGATTTCTTTCCTAGACGAATCTTTGCTACCAGTTGCCGTTCCTCTTTGGTGGTGGAAGCTTTTGTCTGCGCCTTGGCAGGGAGCTATCGTACCCAAGAGCGTGCTACTCAGGGCTCTCGCCACTCCAGTGCATCACTCTGCCTCCTGTAGGGAAGGGTCTCCCCGTATAGGATGAAGAAAGTTATCGATTGTTTATCCGGTTAAAGGACTGTCTCCCAAGGGATTGCTCCGGAAAACTGACCAAGAAGGCAACCTCCTTTTCTTCAAGTCTCTGATGACCTGACCGGTTTTTCCCACGAATAGTGGTAAAAGCCAGGCTCTCGTCTTAAGTATCTTGTCGTGCCTAAGCCCCTTATCAAATTTAGCTCCACAAGTGATAGATCACTTTGCGCTTGCTTTGTTTTCGGGCTTGATTGGATGGACTGTGCAATGGTGCGAATGTGCCGTACCGAATTGCCGGTTTCACACCCCATTTTGAAGCATTATCGAATGGACCGAGTAACTGAACGGGAACGAAATCTGTGCTAGCATCATCTCTTCCCATTTGTCGGTCCCTTCTGTTCTTCACGGGAGTAACGGGCGACCAACCACACGTGCAGAAAAAGCACCGTCGTTTGGATCTCCCATCCGACTATCGTCGGAATGTGCCTATTATGGCTACTAGCAGTTGGCGATGCTTGATATCTATAGCTGCATACGAGATCAGCGCCGTTTTAGAAAAAGATTATTTTGTTTAAATTTCGCGTAACACTAGAGTCCCTCTGTTCTATAATCAAAATTCCCTGTACAATTGAAGCTTAACGCTTTGCTGCAAGCGTCGAGCTTTTCAGCCCTTCTCACAGTTCCTCGTTTCTGCCTATGCGTCGCCTATGTAACGCGTTGGTGACGTTTGCGAGTATCCTCCAGCTGTAAAAAGAGGACATTGAAACTTTAGAGCCCCTTGCAAAGAGACCATGATAACTAAAAGCTACAAGAGTGTCACTTACATGGTGGGCCAACTGGAGGTGGACCTCCACCGTAGCTTCCTCCTCCAGATGGTGGTGAAGGAGGACTAGGCATAGGCATAGGCATAGGCATAGGTGCAGGGGGAGGGGGTGCAGGTGGGTTGTAAGGTTGAGGTTGAGTCTGCTGGTAGCCTCCTGATGGTGGCATCGTCGGCTCGCGTGGTAGCCTCCTCCCTTGAAGGAGGACTCAATGGGTTTGCTAGGTGGAGCTGCATAGGTGGTTTTCTGGCAATGGGTGGAGCTTGGCATGCTGGATGGTGGTCCACTGCCATAAACCTGAAAACTAAGTATTTATATAATTTTATGTAAAATCACATATGCTTTTCAACTAACCTCGCCGCCTCACTCGCCACTCCAAGTAGTAGTCTGCCTTCCTCCCATATCCACCACCTGCCGCTCTCCACCACCGCCCGCCGGATGTAGCTTGCCTCCTCCCATTCCACGCCGCCATACCAGCTGCCTCGCTTCCATTCACCGCCGCCCATAAGCTGCCTCCTCCCATTCCACCGCCACCTCCGGCATAGCTGCCTCCACCGCCACCACCTGAATACGGCTTTTCGATTACCTTGTAGGGCTTTTCAAAACTACGCATTTGAATACTGCTAGAAATCTGAACGATTACTCACCTCCCATTCCACCACCGCCGTAGCTGCCTCCTCCCATTCCACCACCGCCATAGCTGCCTCCTCCCATTCCACCACCGCCATAGCTGCCTCCTCCCATTCCTCCAGCAAACGCATAATGGCTGCAATAGTAGTGTTAGTGACGAAGATGAACTAAATTTTAGTGGCACAACCAGACTGATCCACACCATAGTGGGTTTTTTAATCTAGGAAATTGTCTCAAGAACTGTAAGATTTTTGAGTAGACCAATCACAAATGAGTCCCGCCTTCCCGGGCAATGAAAAAGGCGAAGAAACCGAAAAAATGTAACAATCTTGGAAAGACTCTATTATAGCTATTTAGTAATAGTAGTGTTTCAAGAAGATGCATTTGAATAGGTTAAAGTAAAAAGTATTACCAGTAAGCCGAGACGAGTAGTGCCGCTACGTGGACGCTTCTCATTGCGATGAGATGACTTGTTGTTGTGTGATGTTGTTGATGGCTTCACTGCCTTTTATATAAGCTTCTCCGCGTAAGGTCATTCAGTAGCAATCAAGTTTTCAGCGGAGGAGAAAATGCTAATAGTAATGCGGTAACCAACGGGTGCTATTCAATGGTTAACCTTGACGGAAACTATTTACTGCATCTGCGCATTGTCCATGCCGAAAAATAGCGTGCCGTAATTCGTGCACGGGGCTTGCATTGTGGTCTGATTGATGACGACGATTAGACGAGACACAGTTCCTTAGTGTATTCCACGAACAGCGTTCCCTTCAGCTTGCAACGACGACGATTGATTTTTGAGCTTTGAAATATTTTGAGATATTTCATAGTTCAAGAATAAATCAAGAAAACAAGATGTGACTCTAAAAGTCGGCGCTATTCGGCTTGGAGGGGGCTCCGAATGGTGCTCAGCCAAGCTTGTACAGGCCTTTTCGCAAGAAGACATGAAGTTACCATAACTTGAGTGACTCAATCGTACTGTATCGCAGCTATACAACAGTTCAGTGGTTTACCTCTCGGTTGACACGATTCAGCAAAAGAAACTAGCGAATGGCCAATATATTCCCTCCCTCTCCTATCTCAGCCCCCTCCCCTCCCCCAAGAAGAACTGAACAGCGCTCAAAACTATTCCACGACGTTCAAGATCAAAAGGCTCCTCTAAAAAATTAGGCAGCAATATGCGCTTATCAGTGTCCTCTCGGGAATGTTTTATCCGGATAAAACGAATAATCAAAACCATCAGAAAGTAATCCTCTGGCTCTATGGTTTGAGCTAGTTAAGCCTCCTTCATCCGTGACAAGTGCCCGGAAGCGTTTGGACCCGCGACACAGCTTCGCTTTTTCAGCAAGTTCGAATAAATCGCTGTTGATGCCAATTTCGGCGAATGACGAAAGGTCGGTTGGCCGTTGGAGAGTACCTTTGAATGACCAGAACAGTTGAAATGGCACGGCCTTATGAAGGGCAAATGAGGCGATTTAACTCAGGTCTCAGTATTGTTTGTGTCCCAGCACTACCCTACAGTAGAGTTACTCGGAGTCTGGCACTATGACGAGCAACAGCTGGCCTCTGCCCTTGTAGTTGTGTGTGTACGCATCCAATTTGTCGTATCTGGTTGTCGCGATGAAACAGGAAGTATACACCGAGACAGCGACAGATTTTATTCCGTTGTACAGAGCCGCCTTAAAGACTACATGATACCTCATACCCATGAGGGTCTAATGTAACGACTATCAGCCCCCCAGATGTCGATGTGTCGTGTCCCCCCGCCCAAACATGCCCAGGAATGGAGATACAGGACCGTGAAACACGCTAGTTCCTCCATGCTCCGCCTTACACCTTTTGCGGCGCAGATTCCCGTCCTTCATAACATCCGTTGCAAGCGCGCGTGTCGCGTGCGGCTCCTTGGCACTTTGCCAAGTCCTTTAATTGCGCTCTCAAATACAAGGAAAACGCAATTTCCTGATGCGGATAACATTGGAGGTGCTACAAAATAAGAGCAGAAGATGATGACGAGGGTCAGAACTTGAAAGCAACTGTGCCACTGTTCTGCAACATCCCTCGGAGGCCACGTATTTCCACGAAACATGAAAATAAAAACGGCATACTCGTTAGTTTAATACAAGCAAGACGCAATTTCCTGATGCGAATAAAATTTGAGGTGTTGCTCATGCTTCAAAATCCATGTACAAGGAGATGAAGATGACACAGGCTAGAAATGAAGCACAACGATGTAAATGTAAACAAAACAAAAATGAAAAAATCAAGGAAAGGCAAATTAGATAAACTGGCCTGTAAATTTCTACGATCCGGCGCGAATCCGGCGCCAAAGCCATAGAAATACTTAGAACAAACGAGTGGGACGCTTGGGCTGTTTTTATTCTCATGTTTTGTGGGAATGCGCGGCCCTCTGATGGATACTGCAGATGCAGCCGAGTTGCTCTTGAGTTCTGCACTTGTCTCATCTTCTGTTCTTATTTTGTAGCACCTCCAATGTTATCCGCATCAGGAAATTGCGTTTTACTCGTATTTGAGAGCGCAATTAAAGGACTTGGCAAAGTGCCAAGGAGCCGCACGCGACAGGCGCGCTTGCAACGGATGTTATGAACGGCGGAATGCGCCGTAAAAAGGCAGTGGGCGGAGCATGGAAGAATTAGCGTGTTTCACGGCCCTGTATCTCCATTCCTGGGCATGTTTGGGCGGGGGGACCACGACACATCGACATCTGGGGGGCTGATAGTCTCATACACCCTCAATGTGTATGGAGCGTACCATGTGTCTTTAAGCCACGTTGCAGGAATCTGCCATAATGATCATCCGCTTGAGTCCCCGTAACTCCTCATGCTAGAATCTGGGCGGCTTCTAATTTGCATTCATACAAGATTGACGCTTGTACGTTTTGGCTCGGGGTACAAGACCACCCAGATTTAGTCTAACGCCACGATGCGCTTTCACAGTCGTAAACGACGTCTTAGGCGGGTAGCATTGGTGCTGCGGGCATCGAACAAGTTATGAGTTCGTGTTTCCGCAAGAAAACGAAGTGCCCCAAGCATACACCCTCTTAAACATCAATTTCTCGGACATAACTCGGGCAGCAGTTGCAGCAGGGATGCCAGTCTCGCGGGGAAGCTGCACAAGGGTCAGGCATCCAACGCTCAACTTCATGTACCCATTTTTCCTAGGCAGGGCTAACATTAAGGAACCCTCTTTGGCCAGAACATCTTTTTCGTTCTTCACTCTTTGCACTTCTGAACCAAATCTTCCAGATTCCGTTTTGAGAACACCATAATTCGCAACTGAAGGATCAGTTGAGGATAAATATGAGCAGCGCACTTCCCTTGAATGACGCCTGATTCGGAGATCCAGCGCTCGTATTGACCACTCACGTTTCCTTTCAGTTCCTCTCAGTTTCAGGAGTTTTTCTTCTGAGGCTTGTTGGCCAAATTTCACGAATACATAGCTAGGCTCCAGCTTAGAAATGATACAGAAGCCTACGGCTCTAGCCTTTTTGCTTTCCTGCCATTCCTCCACATATCATCACGTATCCAAAGGAGGCGATTGACGAAAGGCAGGCGATTCCGGGCTATTCTCACTGTCAACGATGCCCGCCATTCTGATGTCCGGCTTGCAGACCTGAAAGTTCTGACTGAATGTGAAAAGTTTTTGGATTCCTGATCTTATATCTCACAGTCGGAGCCGGAAACCTTGCCGTCTCATCCTCAAAAGACGATAAAACGGGGTCTCTAGATCTTTATCTAAGTCTGTGGAGAGGAAAAGCCACCGTTGAAGAGATGTGGATTGCTCTCCCCCCTCCTTTTTTCCATTTCATCCGCTTACCACTCAGTGCACTGGAAAATTTCTTCTCATTCCTGTAAGTGCTTCACTATCTTCGGATGCTCTCAGCCATTTCAGACTTATACGGTCAGCAGACACAGTCAGACTCGCCATATAAACTGTTCCCGAATTTTCTTGCGATTTTAAACCATAGACCATGGGGCCTTAATAAAGGTAGTAATTATTGTGCTGCAACGTATAAGTCCGACAAGTAAGTCAAAGGCGACCAAAGTTCTCTGCCCATCGAGCTAACCCGACCCTGTCTAGAAATTTGATTTCTTTAAACAGTTCACTGTTATCGCTGATCATTCAACTGTTCTTATCCTTCCTTGACATTACCTACCATCAATAGCATAAAGGTCCAAACCTAGCTCGACCGGAATTCATTCACCTCGCGGAGTTTACTATCACTGACGGACTGACTGAGGAGAGCAGACTAGGCGAAGCCACTCCCGACTACTTCGATCCTCATTACACTCTCAATTAAAAACTTGATCGTACTGAATACCTTACAAACTCCTATAAACAATCTGTCCAACAGCATCACACAACAACAAGCAATCCATTGCCAATGAAAGCCGCGCTACGTACGCACACTCGCTCGGCTTGACTGTAATACTTTCTTAACTATCTCAAATCATCTTACTGAAACGGTACTATACAAATAGCTTGAATAGCTCGTCAAGATTGTTACACTTCATCGTTTTCGCCTTCTCCATTCGGGCAGCGTGGTCATTTGTGTTGGATTCACATAATTCCTACATCTTGAGCACAAGCCCTAAATTAAAACACGAACCACTATTTAGGTACATCACGTCTCTTCGCCACCGAAAATTTATCATCTTCCACCTAACACACTATGCACATTATGCGTTGCTGCGATATACGGAGTGACTTGCGAATGAGGAGCACTATTGGTGCGGAATGAGAGCAGCTACGGCTGGTAATATATACTCGTTCAGATTTCTAGCATCTAGTCCTCCAAAGCTCTACGTTCTGAA